CTAGTCGAATGCAGAAAATAAGTCGACACATATATTTGAGACAAATTGTGATTTAGTGCATTGAGAAGAAAAGGTTGAATTTAAAACTGGGACATCTTATAGACTGGCGCTACAGAATCCTAAATTAAGAACTTTGACAAATAACAAAACCGCATTACTTGAAGACTTCCAAAACAGCAGCAATTAAAACTGGGAAAATAATGATAGAATTCCGAATTCGACTAGAATTCGACCTTGAAAATTAATTAAACAAAAGGTTAGTAAGGAAACTCCCATAAATGCTTGAAAAAGCGATATCAGTTAGTGGACTTGCGAAACCTATTTTTCTGAAAAAGAGTTTTAAGGGATCGATTTTACAAATTTCAACTAAAAGTAGCACTGGCTGCTTGAATGTTTTCTGTAAAGAATCGTCTAATCTCACCATTACCATGACCACACACACACACACACACGCACACACACACACACACACACATATATATATGAAGAAATATAGTCTTAAGGTGCGCTACATTTATGGGATAAAGTGCTCAATATTTTTGAAGAAAATTATTTTTTCCTTCTCTCTTCTTAACAGTGAATAATTTCTTCGGATTTCTTACTCATGAGCATGCAACATACAACTGGCCATGCGTAAATATTTCTTTCTGGAGCCAAATTCCAACTGTTTGAAGCATTTGATCTTGTCATTTGTTTATAGTTCTCGCAAAGTCAGGGCGAACTGGAAACTGAATTCTTGTATATACAAAATCTTAAAGAAAAGATATGTAAAAAACAATAATGCATTTTTATGAAATATCTAGTTCTTATTTTAAACATGAAATTGTTTTTAAAATAGTAGAAGAGTGTTAAATAATAAAACTTTTCCAAAACAATGAAATTTATTGTACTAAGCAACGCACCCTAGTAAAATCAACTGTCCTTTCTACTCCATTACCTGTTTGTAATTCTCCCTCAAATTTGATTTCGATCGGTCTGTGTATGACTATTTTAGAGGGTGTGGCGGACGGGTAGACGGACGAACTAACGGAAATCATAGAATCTTATATATAGATAGAAGACACTTAAGCATGGTGCCAATATTCAACTGGATAGATTATGCGTTTGTTGATATTCCGATAAAACTTTCAGTCGTTGGATTGGTTGATTTCATGGCCTGCAAACACTTTCTTGATTTATATAAGATCGAAAACAGTGTTTGTTTTTATGATTATATTTGCGTCTATAAGCTTTTTACTTGTTTTGGGGATATGCTAATATTAGTCATTTATATTTGAGTCTATAAAGCATTTAGTTGAATCTAGAATATGTATATATTGGTCGATTATATTTGAGTTTATAAGCTTTTATTTGATTCGATGGCAGACAAATATTAGAATGCAATTGGCATATTCTAGGCTTCGCCAACAGAGTGCATTTCATATTTTGCACATATTGTGATATAGTAACATTCATATCAGTGCACAATCTGAGTCTGCGTTTTACAGATTGACATTAGTGCGATGAATTGTGTAATGAATAAGTATAATAGATGTCAAGTAAGTATTATGCCAGGGAGTTGCACTTGGGTTCCTTTTAGCTACGAAGGGTCGAATTGAATATCTCACTGAATATGGCGCATTGTTTCTTATTTTCTGTTGGCATCAATTGTCGAATGAACATTCTTATAAATGTAGACCAGGTTCTGAGTGTATTTCAGGCCAGCATTGACAGACCACATGTCATCCATAATATACATCTGAACAAATTTGATACCACTAGCGTAAATGCTGACCAGTGATAATCGTTACTTGCAGAAAGGCTAACAGCATTTGTGCCTCTAGATCAGTGGCTCTCAAATGGTGCACCTAGAAGCACTGTTGCAACCTGGAAGATGTCTAGGTGCTCCCTGGCATTCCAGATAAATATACCTCTATAAATTAAGTGCAAAAAGAGAGGAACTCTTCAATGCATTGAGGAGGAAATGAGAATTTGCCCATCAAATATACGCCCATTGAAGAAATCGCTAAGATTCATCAGGCTCATGTTTCTCACAAACACAAGAATGAATAAACTTAATGCATATTTCATTTCATATTTTTTTTATTGCATTATTTCTTTCCTTCAGCATATGATTTCATTATAACATATTTTTCCGAATTGTGTATATAGTCCGCCTACAATTGGTAGGATTTCAAGTGCGTCCCGATTTCAAAATGTTTGAGAAGCTAAATAGACAATCAATATTGACACATCATGATCGTACAAGTCTGGTCGAGCGGATAACTTTCTACAGTATTTGATGCCGAGTAAAGAGATGGTCACTAACATGCATGCTTAAGTGATTCGTTTTCTTATCAACCATTTATAGGTTATTTAAAGCCAGAAAATATTTGTAGATTTTAAGAATTCTTTTGAAGATAATAATGATTTAATGATACAAGTCTTACTAATTAACCCATAGCTAGAGAAGAAGAAGCGGATTCATACCTTTCCCAAGGGTATTTGGTTATAAGTGAATGTAATGAACCCAACTGGAACTGGAAATCGGCTCTCAGATTAATTCTTCCGAGATATTATCCATTACACCACCCACACATCCAAGCTTACAGCACCCGGGATTTCCAAACTGTTACCCATCAAGTAATGGCTCAACGTTGTTTAATATAGGTTATCGTACCGGAACCGGCATTTCAACGTGATATTGCCGTAAGGCAGCGTGCATGCGCAACACCTGGTATCATGTAGCGATATTGACATGAGCTACGACAGTCTCTCATCTACGTTTTTTTGATTGATTTTTTTTTAATCGAGTTCACCCAAAACAAAGTAGTAAACCTCTAAGTCACAAGGGGTTAGTTGGTGTGGAAGAACTAGAAAACAGAAACATAACTAAAAAGCGAGAGCAATAGAAGACTACCCAGCAAAACAGTAGGTGACAATTGACATTGCATTTAATTTTTTTTCAGATTAAAGTCGACTGGAAAACATGGAAGCGGAAGAAAGTTTCAAAAACGAGACATTCAAGAAAAGATAATGATAAAATAGAATTACATCTAACCATTTAAACTGTAGAATGATGAGACATTATCGCCAGTCGGAGTTAGTACTGCGCTTAAATTCATAAAATCTAAATACCATAGCGAAGAGCTCATCCGAATAATTAACATAAAAGTATTTATAGAAAAGGCACAGGTAGACAATTTTACAGCGGCGGGAAAGTGACTGAAACCAAGATGTCAGGTCAGGACCAGTAATATTGTTAATTCTTCTTTGGATTTTATCAAGAATTTCTACATATATAGCAGGAGCACCGGACCATAAATTGCATCAATATTCGAAGCATGAACGAATGGTAGACTTATAAATATGTAAGATAGATTCTGTCAAGAAAAATTGTCTTGTACGAAACAGTGAACCAACTGACTCTCCATTTAATATCAGCCAAGAATGTTAGACCAAAAAGGCGCAACGAGGTACCTTATACTAGTGGAAGGCAGAAAAGGGTCACTGAAATGATTAATAGAGTGCAGTTTTGCTTTAGAGGGGTTAAAATTGACAAGCCATTCTTTGTCCAAGTAACCATCACACCTAATGTCGTTTAATGATATCAGCTGCCAATTTGACTTTATCGAACTAAATATCGACTTAATATCGACGAACGGGTAAATGATTATATCATCAATATAGATACCATATTGGGAGCTGATGCCATCTGGAATGGCGTTAACGAAAATTATAAACAAAGTAGTGTAGGATAGAGCCCTAGAAGGCTCCTGCGCTAATACAAAAGGATCTAGAAGAGTGGCTGTTCAGGATAACTCTCATTTCACGATTTGATAAGGAAGACTGGATCATATAAAAAATTTGTCCGGAGATGCCGTAACTTTTCAACTTGCGAAGGAGACCTGAATATCAAACCCTGTCGATCGCTTTCGAGATGTCCCTAGCAACAGCCCGAGCTTCATAATTCTTATCTAAATCTTGATAGACTCTTTCCGCGATTATCGTGAGTACATCAGCAGTAGACCTAGAAAAACGAAAGCTATATTGCTTGTTTAAAAAAGGGTTCTGCGACGTGAGATAGTTAACCAATTCAGCACTGATTAGGGACTCTAGTATTTTCCGAAAAAGAGGTAGAAGGCTAATACGTCGATAGGTGAATGGGTCAGACGGTTCCCCTGTGTTCTTAAAAACTGGAACAACAGATGAGGATTTCCAACAAGCAAAAAAGCAAGAGGCAGCATGGCGCTTATTATGCAGTTTAGAGAAAACAGGATCCAGTTCGGAAGCACACTACTTAATGACTATTACAAGGATATCAACAGGTACACGCGCTTTCTGGGCATCTAGGTTAGAGATGATAGCAGAGAACATAAAAAGGGTCATATGCATATCACTCAACAGATCCACTTCTAAGTGGGAAGTTAGACAAGGATACTCCAGTTGAGTCAAGAGTTGAGTTTAAAGAGAATTTACGGGCGAAACATTCAGCTTTATCAACAGAAGATGATAAAACCTCAAATTGTTTGAAGAGGGGAGGAATAGAAGACTTAGTTTTTTTTTTAATATAGTGTCGCCAGTGACCACGATAATCAAAGTTGTTAGATGGAATATGGTGTCGCATTCTTTCAGCAAACAGATTCCTTTGAGGACATGTTTACATTTAGTATGTATTTGTGGAGATAATGTTGATCAATGCCATGTACACACAGAAAACTGTTCAACCTGTTTTGCAGACATTCCTGCAACAGGAAGGTGTTGTGCTGCTAATGCTCACACACGTAATACCACTTCTATTCAACATGTTTTTTTTTTTATTTTCAAAATGTCCATCACCGACATGATAATCGGGCCTGTCATACATTGAACATGTATGAGACATGATGGGACGACGCTTGACTCGTTCAATTATTCCACCCAAAGCTTTTGCTGCATTGCGTCAACAGGTGCACGCGGCGGGTAATAATGCATTGTAAGGGAGTAGTCGCCATTTGTATGATCCGATGCATAATTGAAACAGAAGGAAATTGAATGAAAGAAGCGAAATAGAAAAAAAGGGATAAAGACAAACACGAAAATATAGGAACGAAGAAAAGGAGAAAGAAAAGAAAAAAGAAAAAGACAAAATCGAAAGAGAGGACAAGAGATAGAATTGATAAAAAAGACAAAAAAGAAATAGAAAGAAAAAGCCTAAATAGAAATAAACAAAGAAATAAAAGAAGAGGAAGAAATTAAGAACAGAGAAAAATGAATATCCTCATACATACACAGAACTCTTTTGGACTGATGTGTCCTGCGCATGCCGTAGGGTGGTGATTAGCTGGGTAATCGTTCTTGTGAGTTCAGTCTCTGTCCATTGTTTAGTCAGGACCGACTAATCGTAGAATTTTGAACGCAGTATTATAGTGACTACAATGGTCTAGAAAGACGAACTTGTTAACCGGCAAGTGTCAGCTATCGAAAGCAAATGAATTAAAGAAAAGAAACAAAAAGTAAGATAAAAGATATACAGTCAAGGTTTTTGAAAATTATGACTAAAATAAAAGAGATGAAAACGAATTATAAGGTGTCAAAAAAAGTTAAAAGATTTATAGAAAGCATGACACATATTTCAACTATTTCGTATTGAAACATAAACGTCCCGTAAAAAACAACATAAAATAAAACATTCCCCGATAATAATAATAATAATAATAATAATAATAATAATAACAAAGAAGGAATGCTAGCCGTAAGCTAATTTTTTTCTCTCTTTACGTCTACATTCATCCGTTATTTTTTCCGCTTTTTCTTCTTGTTTTCTATTAAGAGAAGATGGGTGGTTCGTCGTGTGTCTGTTGAAGGCACGTGCCTTCCGTACAATCTTTTCTGAGGCCGACATCTTAGTCTTACAAGCTGATTAAGTCTCACCCATTATTTTCTTGTACGATGAGGATTTCTCCTCATTACTGTGGCCTCTCTCCTTTCCCGCCATTAGTATTGTGGCTTTATTGATTTCGGTAACATTGTTATTGTTATATTTCTATTTTTAGCACGAGACATCGCTGTAGCAGTAGCATCGTTAGCAAAAGCAGTAGATGCAATGAAAGAAATAGCTGCGTGTCGTTCTCTTTGGCGTTTACTCAATGTTTTTTTTTTCTTCTTTTCATTTTGAAAGAATTGTATTTTTCTTTCTTTTTTTTCATTTCTTTTTTTCCTTTCATATTTGCTTTCTTTCTTTCACACCAATTCCTTCCTTTTCCTTAAATCCATTCTTCTTTTTTCTCTCTATATATTTTCTTTCTTTTCCTCAAATTAATTCTTCTAGTTTCTCTGAATACAATTTTTTCTTTCTTTTTTCTTTCCCTCTTCTTTCTTTCTTTCTTTGAATTAATTATTGTATTTTTTTCTGAATACAGCTTCTATTTCTTTCTTTCTTTTTTCTTTCTTTCTTCTGTTGATTCTTCTTTCGTTTTCTTTGTTTCTTTGATTTCTTTTACTTCATACTTTCAGATTCTACTCAATCATTTTACCATATGTGGAAATGTCTTCGAAATTTGCGCATAATTTTCAATTGTCATCTAACCGAAAATATCAGAAAAAAATAAAGTTTTCCGAGTTAAACTTAAACGCTTGTAAAATCACAAAAAAAAATCTATAATATCGCTAACACGTTTTTCTTCCCTATTTTTCCCCTCCCAATTTTCAATAATTCTCTTCCTCTCTTTTGTTATCTTTCTTCCTTTCATTCCTGATAGACTAAAATCAACGGCAAGCTAATCACACACACCAGAAAAGAATATCTTTGCTTAGTGCTTACATCCATTTTTCTACCGATTACTTCATAATTACTCATTTTCTTCCAATGAACTCTCTCTATATTTCTTATTACTTTTCTTATTGAACGTTTTGAATTCGAGTTTGAGAATTGGAACAAAAATATCCAGTGAGCACGACATTTCATCATCCAAGGCCAAAAGTACCTAACTCCCAAATCCAATATAATCGTGTCGAGACAGGAGGATTTCATTGGTAACAAAGAAAAAAGTACTAAACTGCTACGGGATATCTGTCATCCTTTACGGCAGCGAATGTTGGACGGTCTCAAAGATGAAGAACAGGCTCGAGGCGACGGAGATATTGTTCTACAGAAGGATGCTAAGCATATCATGGACCGAGCGTGTAAGCAACGATAAGGTCTTAGAGAGGATACAAACAAGGGGAGGCTTATACTTAACATCAGGAAGAGGCAGCTGATGTTTCTAGGACATATAATGAGAAAGGAGGCCTGGAGAATCTGATACTCACAAGTCGAATAGCGGGAAAGAGAGACAAGGGAAAGCAACGCATGACATACCTGGCGAGTTTAAGCAAGTGGATGACAGAACATGTTCTGGGGGAGATGACAGAGGGACGAAAATTATTGAGAGCTACAAGGGATAGGAGATAGTGGAGAGCCATGATCGCCTACGTCCTGAAAGGACACGGCACATAAAAAAGTCTAATGAATATAGCAATGTAAACGTTAAGATGAAACCAACAAAGACGTGGACACGACGCAGAATAACAGGAAGGAAAAGAAAATCTTTCCTTTAAAATTTCTAACAACCGAAGAAAACACATTTAGTAACTGATAGTCAAAACTAAAGAGCTCATTTTTAGTTCTCTGTTCTGAGTTAGATGGACATAACTATTTCATGGATGGTACCGGCTTGACGATACTAATAACGAAAAATACTAACAATGAAATGGATTTGGTAAAAGGCACATACAAAAATGAAAAAGACATTTACAATAAGATGTGGAGAGAAATCTAGTTTGTTTATTTATTTTTGCTTCTGGGCAAAATTCGATTATCAACCGTCTTAGATGTGGAAAAGGATTATCTCTTTCTTTCTGACAGATTATCTTGTAGTTTGAACTTGCAACTTATTGACAAAATCTTACGCTTCTTTATTAAAACTGAACTGTAGGATCAGGGAACACACACACACACAAACGCATCAAACACAAACACACATACACACACGCAAATACAAACACACACACACAAACACAGACACACACACAAACACACTCAAACATATACGTATTGATCTAAAAACATCCATGAGAAAAACTTCCAGACCAGATATATATATATATATATATATATATATATATATATATATATATATATATATATAAAGTTGTAGCCTCTGTCTGTTTGTTTTTTATGAAACTCCTCCTAGGGTTTTGTAGATACCCCCATAACCATATATATTCTGAAACTACATTACTCAGGTTACTTGGATAAGTATATTTCATTTTAATGAAAGGAGGTCTCGGGGGAGGGGGTCAGAAACATCCAACTGAATTTATTTTCCCTTTGATATAAATTAAATAAAATTTGATCAAGTGAATGACTCCTAGGGTATCTGGATAGGTATATTTCATTTTGATCAAAGTCTCACCGAGGGGCACAAAACCCCCACTGAAAATGTTTCTCCCTTTGATTTAAATTAAATTTAAATTTGAACAAGGCAATGACTCCTATCCAAAATATAGGAGGAGAAAACCAGAAGATGGAGGTCACATGGGCAAGATCATTGAGTAAAATTGAAATGCATCATTTTTCTCCACAAATTATAACAATGCTTTAAAATCAATTTCCTTACAAAAAATGTGTGACGAACAGCAAAGCCCGGGTAATTCGACTAGTCAGAATATAATTTTAAATCCCTTTCCAGTTAGGCCAAGAAATTTCAGCAGACCTTCATCTATATATAGCTGGTCGCTTGAAAATCGCGTTTGTGTCAAACATGAGTAGCGATTTGAGTTTTGCCACGTAGAGGTTTCACGCAGTGAAGCGTTTTTAGCTCTATCTGGATAGCCGAGGCGTTGAGCACTGTTATTTACTGATTAGCTAGGTGTCTGTTCTTTTCTTCTTTCTTTTTCTTTTGTAAGGTTTTTCTTCTTTCATTTTGTGTGTTATTTTGTTAATAGTTTCGCACATTTTTTAGATCATTTGTCAAGTAGTCCGTTAGTCACACAAACATTTTAGATTTTTTATTCAAATTTTATTTTACATCTGTAATATAAACCGATTTAAATCCTACTAAAGTTTAAGGTTCCTGCCAACAAGTATCGAATATGTATTCCTTTTCACCATCACAGAATGCACCACCTATAGCCGAAGTGTGTGGCCAAATTGCAAGCTGTGGTTATAGGAGTGATTTAAATAAACGTTTTAAACGATATACTCTTGCCTAATGTTGAAAAATTATGATCGGAAGCGTAGAATGTTTTCGCAATGTGCAATCGACTAAGTTCCTTTTTTGTAATTAATGTTAGTCAGTCGTTTCCATGTAATTATATTATGTCGAAATAATTCTATTTTTCGTAATATTTTCAAATAATTATAATTATTCGTTGTTTTATTTTGATTTTGATAGAAATTACTCGATAGTTGTGTTGCTATGATATCTTATGACAAATGAAATCGCACAAGGGATATCTTCTTCGGTGATTCTTCCAGGAAATGTAACCATCTCAGAAATCTAAATTATAGGAAATCAAACAGTTGGTAGGTTCTTCAAGTTAACTCCCAGACTAAATCAGAGAGAGACTTTATTAAAAAATTTCAATAAAAAAAAGAAGAAAGAAAGAAAGAAAACGTGGGGAAGATAGAGATTGATACTGTTTATAGTGAAATAAAGGCATTGAAAGAGAGGTAAAAAGAATTAAAAAGAAAGTAAAAACAAAGATAAGAAAAGAAAAGACAAAAGAGGAAGGTAGGTTGGTAAATAAAGACAACAAAATGATTACAGAAGAGAGATAACATTATAGATATTAAGAAAAATGATAGAGAAGTAAGAAAAAAACCGAAAGTAAAATAAAACTTAGGTTAGTGAAGCAGAGAAATAGACTAAGAGGGCGAGAAAGCTATTGTCTTTTCATCTCCGTTGAAGACTGAAAATCCTTTATGCTTGATCATATTTGTAATTGTGATAATTACGGAGATCGTTAAAAAACAACAAAAACAACAGCAGCAACAACAACAACAAAAACAACAGCAGCAGAAGCAACAACAACAAGAAACAATAATAATAATGATTGTAAAAATTGGAAAAGATGACTAGGTAATGGCATCGAGGATGATTAAAATAATTAATTTACTATTATCGGCTCTTCTTACGAACTTTTCTCAATCGATTACGAGGGAGGAATGATTAGATTTATAGTAGAAGTGCGAAAAAACAGTAGCAATAAAGGAATTTTAAGCATTCGCACATATACATATATGGATACAAGCGTGTAGGTTTGTATGTACGTATAAAAATAAGTGAATGACAACATCCGACTTCGAGTTTTGAGGGTTAAAATAAATCAATTAAATTTATTAAGAGCTTCAAAGGATAGGAAGTTGTGGAGAGCAATAATCGCCAACGTTCTGAATCGATACAGCATATACAAGAAGAAAAGATAACTTATTTGGCTTCAAATATGATCCATGAAAGAAATTGACATCAACTCAATTTTAAATTTGTCCTTTAACTCACACGCAAAAATAAACACACACGATCAAAACACACACACATTATATATATATATATATATATATATGTGTGTGTGTGTGTGTGTGTATAAGACTGAAATAGATAGATACATAGATAAGGAATATATTTTGATCAATAAGGATTATAATTAGCTATGAATATACTTAAATGAGGAATATAATATATATATATATATATATATATATATATATATATATATATATATATATATAGATAGATAGATAGATGTAAGCTTGGCTGAGTCTTGAAAACATTCCGAATGCCAAACAGCGGGGTGCGAAAAGGCAATACTCGAATACCACGCAAGAAATCACAATGCAAACGCAATCCTGACAACGCATACAAAGGGTTTTGATTATGGCTTTTGAAAACCAAAAGCGTTCAGACGACATTATATTGTTCATGATTCATCGCGGAAACCCGAAAAAAACTGCCCGAACCACAGAAAAATGAAATATAACATCTTAAACATCAGCATTCAAAAAAAAGACTTTCATAAATTAAAAACTACACTCTAAATCCATACAATATATATATATATATATATATATGGGCATAAGAAAAATATCTGAATTATAGACAGAAAAGTACACGCTCTCTCAACACACTTGCACAAACACGTATATTGCACCATTTTATATTTTTAATTTCACGCATGCGCGTTGTTTGTTTTTGTCAACTGCACGATATAGTAGGGTAGTTGGGTAGCCTAAATGTGAGAAAAAAGAACACAATGATGCAAATCACATCACCAGAAATTTGGAAACGGCACGCTGTACTATTTAGCATTCACGCTGTAAACTGCAATACGAACATTTCAGTTGAATGAGAGACCAACAAGAATCACTGTAACAGCAAAGATGTTAAAATCTGAGCATATATATATATATATATATATATATATATATATATATATATATATATCAATTTCTGATACACACTAACGAGTGGCCGGAATAATTTCAGGATGGTCCGTCTACGAAACTCTGGAGTCGGGATGCTGAAGTTAGCAACAATCAGTTAAGGGACAAAATTATTATACACACACACACACACACACACACACACACACACACACACACATATATATATATATATTAGTATTACACAATAAAAATTACATGGGGAATAGACATAATTCAACCGACGAAAACTTCGTCAGTTTTATTCAACACCGGTATATTGTCTGAGTTCCTGTCAGAATTAGAATGTATACATTTCACTGTTTCAGTCAGACGAAAGGCACGAGACAGTGGGCAGGGAGGGGAGGAAAGGGAAGAGGGTTTATAAAATTAAACCCGGATATTAGCCATATGACTTTAAATTTGGTTTATATGAAGAATGAAGAGTTAATTCGAAATTAAGAGTTCAACAAAAAGGATTTTTTTAAATTATATAGATAAGGTTAAGTTTAAAAGTACAAGTTCCTACTTAAAAATACTCTTTCAAAGATAAATTATACTTAAAAATAAGATATATTTAATAAATTAAAAATAAGTCATATTTAGATAATTCATATTAAAATTAAGTAAGATTATATTTTAAAAAATTATAATTAATAAAAAAAATGTTGTATCAAACATAAAATAGATTTTAAAATAAATACAAGATAAAATAAATTATACATTAGAAAAGAACTTTAAAGATAAGTTAAATCAGAAAAAGTTATATTAAAAAAATAAAAATATAGAGAGATAAAGAGGTATAAATGATTAAAAGATAGCAAGTTCTTTGAATAAGGGACAATTATAAGATATAATTAATTTGGTGAAGAAATGGAAAGATAGAAATTAGAAATCGTTACACGTTCGACATTTGAAGAGTTAGAGAATTATAAGTTCATAAAGTAAAATCTATATCATGGAAATTTAAATTTGTCTTTATGTCGAAATTTTAAAAACGGCAAGGATATGTAGTTCCTTATATGAACACTGTTTACTGTGCTTACATGAAAAGCTGGGAATTATCAGATTCAATAAAAATTTCTTATTAAATCAAAAGAATGAATTAACAGTAAATTGTAAATATAGTTTACCCTCTACCTTACAATTTATTTAAACTTTGGAATTAATATTTCTGTCTTCTTTATGCCGTGTTCCTTCAGAACGTGGGCAAACATGGCTCCCCACAACTTCCTATCTTCTGAATCTCTTAGTAATGTTTGTTTTTTATCATCCCTCACACACCGCGAACTGCGATCAATTCATGCCAGTTCTAAGAAAAGCGGACTTAATATTGTGTAAAAATGGAAATATAGAAATCAGAAATAGTTATACATTCGACATTTGAAGAGTTACAGAAATATAGCAGCTAATAAAGTATAATTATTACCTTAGTGTATATATATATATATATATATATATATATATATATATATATATATATATATATATGAAGGTATTTTAAAACTTTATTATGAAAATGAGACATCTTCATGGAGAAGCCAGAGAAGATCGAATTCTCAATACTAGCGTAAAAGTGCATAAAGAAAGAGAGAGAAAGAGAGATGGCTTGTGGTGCAATGGCGAGTAAGGCTGAGAAAGAAACAATGTCTGGAAATGGCAAAGATTATTTCAGAGGATCAATCAGAAGTAGAAAAGAAAATAGGATATAGAAAGAGATGGATAAAGAAAGTGGAGCGGCTTTCAGAGCGGTAAAAAAATAGATTAGCAGAGAGATTGATAAACAAAAACACTGGGAGGTGTGAGAGAGAGAGAGAATGAGTGTGTGTGTGTGTGTGTGAGAGAGAGAGAGAGAGAGAGAGAGAGAAGAAATAAAAATCAAACCAGTCAGATGATGGGGAGAAAGAATTGTGTCGGTTCCTGTGTTGGCCAAACAAAAAAAAAAAAATAAGACATGAAGAATTACTGATAAATTTGAGTAAAGATGAAAAATCGAAACTAAAATAAAAAAAAGCAACAATATCAGGAATATTTAAAGAATTGTTTCTTTAAATATTACAATTCCAATTCCAACAAGAACAGCAGCAGACCAAGAAAAATATTAATTCATATCTATCCATCCATCAAAAAATATTTAAGTTGTCCTAAATCGTGACGGTACAATCATTGAAAAAATACAAAACAAATACATTCTATATTTGAGCGACTAATATTACGACCATGTAATTGTTTATGTACGAAATCACGTATACATACATATATACGAGGGACACTCCGAAAGTAATGCCTCCCATTTATTTCAACGGAAGCTACAGATAGAATGAACCAAAAATAGCGCAGTTGGATATAGTAAGTTTTCTGATTCAAAAAAATAACGATTTTCTACATATTTCTCACCATATACTATGCAATTTCGCAAGCGATGAAAAGAGCCAGCATAGCGCAATCATAAATTGTTGCTTATCAGACACGACATCGCTGAAAGACATTACTCGACACTCAACAGTGCTCGCATTTGCTATTTGGTTTCCGCAAATGTTCATCAAGTCTCGATGCATGTGGAGAGTGCAATACTTTTCGCAATCAGCATCTCTGTTTCATATGCATTTTCATGTCATCCACTATTTTGTCAGACTACCATGAAATCCATGTACTGTGAAATTATGCATTATTTGCGACGAGGCTAAATCTACGTCCATACTTCCGATATCTAATCTACTTCTGACGTAATGAACTCACAGTTAAGAGAAAGGTTTAATTTCAGAGCAAGCCTCGGGTGTTCATATATATATATATATATATATATATATATATATATATACATGGAGAGAGAGAGAGAAGGAAAGATAGATAGATAATTAATATAATAATATCCAATAAGTAAGTGGTAAGTATCATGCAAGTAGGTCTTTTTAATATAAAATCTTAAAAAGATACATCCATGAAGAGAGCTTAGTTTATTTATATACAGAGCAATATTATACACATCAAAGGAAAAAATTCGGTAATAAATTTATTTCAACAAATAAATTTTAATATATTCCTCATCAGATCGAAATTAAAAATATATATATATATATATATATATATATATATATATATATATATATATATATATGAATAAAGACAAAACGAAAACTTAGTCGACGCGTTTCGTCCCCTGACGCACTTCATCAAGGCACGTGTAAGGATTTTATTTTGCAACAAGGATTTATAAAGAAAAGTAATAATGTCGTTAGCTTTTCAAAATTAAAAAAAAGTTAAAAACGCTCATAAATGTATACGAAGTCTGGGTAAATTATGGGGGAGGCTTGCTTAGTGATGTAATTTAATGTCTAATAAACAAAAGTCTGTTGCTGAAT